AAAAAAAAAAAAAAAAAAAAATTGCCCATCTAAGGGCCGGCCCGGTGGCGCACTGGATAGTGCGCCGCTTAGGAAGCGCGGCGGCGCTCCCGCCCGAGGGTTCGGATCCCACATACAGACCGGTTCCCGTTCACTGGCTGAGCGAGGCGCGGGAGCAACACCGAGGTTTGCAATCCCGTTGCCGGTCCCCGGTCCGGTACGGGGGCAGCACTGAGGGTTGCGATCCGTTGCCGGACACGGAAAAAAAGACAAAAAGACAAAAAAAAAAAAACAAAAAAAAAATTGCCCATCTAAGACTAGATGAGTAGGTGTGTCAACCACAGTGTCATAATGAGAAACTGTCTTGCAAGTGATTAGCTACTAATAATAGTTAAAATACTAAAGTTTATAAAAAAAATTTACTTTGCAGTGCAATTTAAAGCGGATTCATGGTTCTAAGATAGCATAATTTTCATATACAGTAGTGCCCTCTTATCCACAGTTTAGCTTTATGTGCTGAATGTCAGTCCAAAAATATTAAATGGAAAATTCCAGAAATAAACAATCCATAAGTTTTAAATTGCATGCAGTTCTGAGTAGCGTGATGAAATCTCATACCATCCCGCTCTATCCTGCCTGGGATGTGAATCATTCTTTTGTCCAGTGTATCCGCGCTGTATACGCTACCCTCCCATTAGTCACTTAGTAGCTATCTTGGTTATCAGATCAAAGGAACATAGTATATGTAGGGTTCAATACTATTGGAGATTTCAGGTATCCACTGTGGGTCTTGGAATATATTCCTTGGAGATAAGGGGATACTACTGTACCTTGCATTTTAATTTGATTTTAGAATGAGTGCTCGTTCCTCTGGGTGACCAAGGGGAAGTTATCCACTGAATGGGTGCAGAAAAAGAATTGAGAACTATTGGACCAGATAATGCTTTTCTAAGTACAATACCTTGATCCTAAAAGACCATTGTTTATAAGATGTACTGTCAATTTAACAGCTTTTCTGAGGAAAAATAAACTTTTGCAGTTTCCTTTGACTTTGACTATCATACACATCTGACTTCAGAAATATATGTAATTGGGGAGGGAAAATGTAGTTCTTAGAATTGAGGAAATGTAGTATTAAATTTATATTTCATATTCTTCAGACTTTTGGGGAAATGAAGTGAGGACAACTGAAATAGGAGAATAGATCAATTATTCTGCTTCTAATTTCACAGGTAAATCCATCAGATAGGTATCATCTCATGCCCATAATCACCCCTGCCTACCCACAACAGAATTCTACGTATAATGTGTCCACCTCAACTCGAACAGTAATGGTAGAAGAATTTAAACAAGGTAAACACATTGGCCCTATTGCCCTTTGCATATTACCACAAGTTTTTGGTTGACAGCAATTTTATTACCTATTACAACTATGGATTGGCAGTTAGTTATATAAGACAAATTTCTAAAATTCTTTTAAATATGTGTATTTTTTCAGTAGTTAGTTTTCCAAAGTATATGGCGATACTATGGCCAAAAATGGAGCCAGCCCAGTCTGGCTCAATGTTAATTTTTGTGTTCTGAGAAACAATGTATTTATTTACATTTCGTTACTCAAGAATTTGGTGGGGTTAGAGATTTTGAGGGATAGAGTGATATAAGAGCTGGTCAATTGTCAAATCAGTCTTTTTTTCTTTTTTTTAATCTAGGTCTCGCAGTCACAGATGAAATTCTTCAAGGGAAATCAGATTGGTCCAAACTACTTGAGCCACCAAATTTCTTTCAGAAGTATAGGTATTTAAAATTTTGTGTTTTGTGTGTTTGTGTGAGAGTGTTTTCTTTGTTTTTTTGTTTTGTTTTGTTTTGTTTTTAAGAACATTAAAATTGCAGAGTTAATATATGATAGGTGACAGCCATTACATATATTTCTTAAACAAGGTAGAGAATAGGTTAGTATTCTACAAGTATGTAATCCAGAATTAGGTTTTTTTTAAGTGAATTGTTTTTGAATTGCAGGGTCTAGAATTAATTTTGTGAAAATCAGAGCATATTTTAATTTTCATAAACCTATATTAGCACTTTTGTTACTTGGGAGGGAGAAAGAATAAGTAATGATGGAAAAGCACACCCTAACAAAGTTTCTGGCTTTTTTCCTGATTGTTGGTGAAAATTCTTCGTAGACATTATATAGTATTGACTGCCAGTGCATCAACAGAAGAAAACCATCTAGAGTGGTAAGACTTATATTTCAAGTTCTCTACCTATTGTGTGATGGTGATAACATATTTATATGGTGCTTTACCATTTATAAAATACTTTCTTGATTTTCCAAATTATTATATCTTACTGTTGACCGATGTACTATGGAGCATATCATTAAGAAATGCCATAAATTAATGTTTTAGAATGTGGAGTGACATGAGATATGGATATATTTACAGATCTTGCTTTTTGTTGCCTCTCAGAGTCAGATTTAAGCAAAAATTTTAGGTGGTTTGGATGATTCTGATACCCAGCCTCTTACTGAATTTTCCATCCTTAGCATCATTTTTTCCGTCATCAAAACTTGAAGGAAAAGACATTTTATATTTCCTTTTAGTTTAAGAGATGGTGGCATGGAAGATTTCAGAATTTTAACCTGTCCACAGATATTTTTGGTCAAGGAGTAGTGTATTCTTTCTAGTGCATCTAAATTTATCACCTCTGCCTTCAGTACAAGTATATTCACATTCCTGGCTCCATCAAGTTGAAGCTGTTAGGCCACTATAGATGTTGGTACTTTCCTCCAATATGACTTCTGGAAAAGCAGAATATAACAATAGTGTCTTATTTTTACTTGAAGGGTTTAATGCTTATTTCATTGGCAATTAAAAGGACCCTGAAAATAGTCCTTTCACGAAAACTTTAATTTGTTTAAATCAGGAGTCAGGAAACTACCGTCTGGGCCAAATTCAGTCTGCCACTATTTTTTTATAAAGTCTTATTGGAACCCAGCCATGCTCGTTCATTTATATAAAGGTACTTCAAAAAGTTTGTGGAAAAAATTGAGTGGAAAGATAATATGTGTACCAGCCAGCCACTGAAAAAGAAGAAGATAATATGACTTTTTCCATGAGCTTTTTAAAGACCCCTTGTGTGTTGCCTGTGGCTGCTTCCATGCTTCACAGCAAAGTTGAATAGTTGCAACAAAGACTGTATGGCCCAAAAGCCTAAAATATTTATTATCTGTCCCTTTACAGAAAAAGTTTGCCAACCTCTCAGATAACACTGGGATAACTCAGATTTTTGTGTATCTACTGTTGAAGCACACACAATTATAATGTGTATGCTTTTGCAAGTGTTTGTAAAAATGTTCTTATAGTTATTCTAATTCATAAAGTTATTAATAATATAGCTGATATTGGTCATTTTTTTAAGGAAGGAAGATGAAGTCACAGAAATCTGATGAAACTTTGTACATTTTGTTAGTATCTGATCCAAATTTAGTGAATTTTTTTTAAATGCAAAGGCTAGTATTTTGTGAATATCAAAGCATGTTTATTTCATAAATTATGTGCCATTATGACTTTTTTGTTCATAATTTAAATATTTTTAGCCTTAGGGTTTAGGCATAAGATTTGAAAATGGAGGAAGAGTAGTGACCAGATTAACCAACAGTTTTTGTTCATGCTGAAGTGGGGTACATTAGATACAGCAATGCATTAAATAGATCAGTTCTTCTAAATAAAGGAGAATACAAAGAAACTCATTAAATAACTTGTCATTTACCTGAATGGTATTTTAAACAGAGTCTCTTTAACATATTGGGCTGAATTTTTTAAATGCATGTATAAAGCTTCATAGGTAATATGCTGTTTGATTTATCTGAGTGTAGCTTCCTAACTTAATATGTTCGTAAGAAAAATCTTGTTCACTGTTCATTTTAGGGTTGGATTAGTAGAATCTAAAATTCGTGTACTTGTTGGAAACTTGGAGCGGAATGAATTTATTACTCTTGCCCATGTGAATCCCCAGTCATTTCCAGGAAATAAGGAACATCATAAAGAGTATGTTAATTGTTTTTTTTTTTTTAATGTTATATTCCTTTTTGTGTGTGTGTGGCTGGCTGGTAATGGATCTGAATCCTTCACCTTCCTGTTATGACAGTACACTCTAAACAAGTGAGCTAACCGGCAAGCCCTTATATTTCTTAAATTATGTTGTTTGGCATGTGCATTGTTCAGATCGGTTGTGAGATTATTGTTTAACAGGCATTGGGGGTCGATACATTATATGCTTGAGTATGCACTCTAAACAAGTGAGCTAACCGGCAAGCCCTTATATTTCTTAAATTATGTTGTTTGGCATATGCATTGTTCAGATCGGTTGTGAGATTATTGTTTAACAGGCATTGGGGGTCGATACATTATATGCTTGAGTATGAGTTAAAAGTAAGTACATACTACTTTGGTAGCTCATAGACCCCAGCAAAAACTCCATCACAATATTTGGAGCATCTTTAAGTATATATTCAGTAAGTCATTTTCAAAATCACTTAATCGTCTTTAGGACAGCACAGCATCTGGATGTCAGTTTAAGAAGTTGGCAAAACACTGAAATCTGTATTTATGAGATAGAACAGACATAGAGACCAAGTTTTAATTACCAAACAGCATCTGTAAAATTGTAAAAAATTAATGGAAATTCTTAAATTTTACTTTATAGCAACAATTACGTATCAATGTGGTTCCTCGGAATAATTTTTCGGAGAGTAGAAAATGCAGAAAGTGTTAACATAGACTTGACATATGATATACAGTCATTTACTGATACAGGTAAGATTTTGTCATCATAGAGCTGTGGTTCTCAACCTTGGCTGTAACTCAGTATCATCTGCCTAGGAGCTGGCTGGTTATATTTCTTAAAGTTCCACAATTGGTTAAATGTATATAGTACACCCATATTGTGGAAATCTGTGCTATTAAAAAAAAAAAGGGAAGGTATGAAGAAACAATTTCCAAGATACATTAAGTAGGGGGAAAGTTGCAGAACAATGTGTATAATGTGCTCCCATTTATATAAATAAAAAAAGTATGCATGTTTGCTTACAAATGCATCTCTGGAAGGAAACTTAGTTTAAAAGGAAAAAAAAACTGGCAAAGGTGTTTGCTTCTAGATCAGGGAACCAGTGTGTCTTAGGGATAGGGGTGAGGAGATTTCACTAAATAATCTTAAACCCTTTGAGTTTTGTACTATGTAAATGTATTATCTGTTTTAAAACAAAAAGAAAGAAAACTTAAACTCTACAGGTGATTCTTTGTGTGCACAGCCAGGGTTTGTAATCACAGTCATAAAGATGACTTGATTTTTATGTTTTTTATATGAAATAAGTATCAGTAGGTACAGATTTACTGAATATGTTTCAGGATCAGTGAAAGAGTCTTTCACATCTATCCCTTAATAACACCTCGTTGGAATATCTTAATATATCTGTTACAAATTTGGGCTTGTCTTAATCTGGAATAGTGTACATCATACTATGAATATTCTTAGTTTGGCTCATTGGAGTTTTCTAAATTCTTTTGAGCTAGTCTTCACACTTACGAAAAGTCAGATTCCTGTGCCTCACCTTAGAACCATTAAATCACACTCTGAGGATAGAGCCAGAGAATCTGCAACTTGAACAAGCACTCCTCATAATTCTTTTATAAGCAGTCTGGAATGAAAACATAGATATAAATTTTTTTCATTCTGATTTGGGCTCCTATTTTTCAAAAAAGAGAGGGTTGGAAAGCTCTGTTGATTGTAGATTTATAAAATATTCTTTTTCCAGATAAGGAAACTTGAGGCCCCAAGAGATTAAATAATTTACCACATTTCACAGTAGTTGCTGTGCAAAACAAGCCTCCTCCCATTCTTGTCTTCATGGGCTTATAATCTAAACGGGTATTCACAATTAAAGTAAATTAACTAATTTGTGCAGTGGTTAATAAAACTAATTTTCTTATAAAGTGTAAAAAGCACTAGATTGTGAAGCTAGGGCTGTGTGTATTCTAATCCTGGCAAAGTGTTCAGTGTTGAGTCTCATTTCCCCACCTACCTGTACAATAAAGATGTACTGTAGATGATTTCTGAAGTCTGGCATTCTGTGATTGGTGTGGGCTACAATAGTAAAAGAAGCCTTAAGGAGGGAGAGCTTGAATTGCATCTTGGATATTTGATATAAGAATAGCTTAGGTTTGGGCAAGTAATTATGAGGAAAGATTGCCTTTTGGGAAAATAGTGGAAAACAAGATTTGGAAAAAGCCTTTTTTCCATACGTTTATTTTGTTAATGACGTTTGATTATGAGATAATCATAGAAGATTGACATGAAAAGAATAGTTGATTTTTGGATAGGATGTGACGTGATGGAAATATTTTAGAAATACTCATATTTGTTTTATAAGAGGTGCATGTGTTGGGTTGGTGTGAAATATTGATGTTATATGCATTGCAGAAAAAGAAACAGAGCCCTTGGTTCAGAGAGAAGTTTCCCATTTAACATATTAACATTGTTACAGTGTACAGACAGGCAAACAATATAAACATGCTAAAGGAGGGAATGAAAATTGAAGCAACTCATGTAAAGAAAAAACAACTTCATCATTACCTTCCAGCAGAGATTCTTCAAAAAAAGAAAAAGGTGAGTTTGTAATCTTAACTCTCCACTCAGACAAATGATCCTGGGACCAAATTTACATTCTTACAGCCCCCAAACCTATTGAGAAAAAGAAGGAAAGTATAGACAATTCAATCTAGGACTAAAATCTCACCTTCATTAATCACAAGAGATAATTTGCTTATATGTACTTCAGAATTGAAATCAATCTTTATGTTCTCATTTGCTTTTTTAAATCCTAAAAGCTTTCCTTTCTTTCAGCAAAGTCTCTATGATATCAATCGAAGTTCAGGTGGACTTCAATCCAAAAGATCATCTCTGGATAGCAATTGTCTGGATAGCTCCAGAGACACTGATAATGGGACACCTTTTAATTCTCCAGTGTCTACAAACAAACCTTCCAAGTCTGATAGTCCTCCTGCAGGAGAAACGGAAAGGTCTGTATTTCAAAATTGTCCTTTCAGCCTTCCATTCAGTTTATTTGAGGATAATGTGAACTTTTCTATATTTGCTAAATGCCCTTTTAGTGGTTAAAAGATTATATTTTACCAGCTGCTGGTCAGTTTCTTGTTTAGAAATACTTGACAATTTCTGGTAATCCTGTGGGAGTTAATATGAAGATTCTTCAAAAAGTTCATGGAAAAATAGAATTAAAAGATACTACAAATCTTTCCATGAACTTTTTGAAGACCCCCTCCTGCAGGCTTATGAGCACGCAAGTCTAGATAAATACACAGAAATACACAGGTTTTGTGCTTAAATTTTTCTCTTAATTCTCACTGGGTTCTTTGCCTTATTTCTCTCCTTTTACTTCAGTGAAATGTTAAAGTAGGAGTACTTAACAGAAGTAATCCTAAATGCTAGAATAAAAGTGTTTAAATAAGTAATATTTAAATCACTTAATGATGATAATTTTAACACTTATTAGGAATAGTGCTGAGCCTGCTGCTGTAATTGTAGAGAAGCCACTGAGTGTCCCACCAGCTCAAGGACTATCTATTCCAGTCATTGGTGCAAGTAGGTATCTAAACTTATTAGTAATGATTCTATTACATAAATATTTAATTATTAAAATCTTTTTTTTCCCTTTTCAGAAGTTGACTCTACAGTAAAAGCTGTATCGCCCCCAGCTGTGTGCACCATTCCTACTGTAGTAGGACGAAATGTCATTCCTAGAATCACAACACCCCACAACCCTGCCCAGGGACAGCATCTAAATGGAATGTCAAATATTACTAAGAACATTACCACCAAGAGATCCCATTCCCCATCCATAGATGGGACTTCTAAGAGGTTGAAAGACATAGAAAAGGTAGAGTTACAACTTTGATGGTCATTCAGTAGTTTATTTTTTAATAAGTTAACTTAAAATGGAGCTGGCCAGTTAGCTCAGTTGGTTAGAGCACAATGTTGATAACACCAAGGTTCAGGGCCAGC